TGGTGCGGTTGCTGGCCCACACTGGACACTCAGTGAATATTCATGGAACGAGTGAACTAGAGAAACAGAAGAGAAAAGAGTGGTGAGCTCCGATTCCTGCCAGCTCCTCCTTCCCACAGGGATTGAGGGTCGGACTTGAGTTCCCTTACTCTCCACGGTGTCAGCCAGGGAAGCTGCGGCCCAGGGGCTGCGGGGGGGGGCCCCACCAGGCGGGCTCCCCACCCGTCCCACAGCTTCCCACCCCCTCCATCCCAGACCAGCTGGCCGGGTGCCTGGGGCAAGGGGACATTCCAAGCAGAAGCGTCGGCGCTGCCGCCGGCTGGGGAGGAAGGAAGCGGTGACAGCAGGGACGGACGGTGGGCTTGGCTACCCCAGGGCCGGGTGGTGGGAGAGGGGTGTCTGCTGGGAGAACGACTGATGACCCGCCCTGGTTGTGGCGCACGGCAGACGCACTGGGAGCTGGGTCTCCTGCCTGTCAGAAGTCATTAGTGGTTCTGTGGGAACAGCCAGAAGAAAAGTTTTATATGGAAAATAAATTCTTCTCTGAGCCACAAACCCCCACCAGACTGCAGCTAATAAGCCCACAAATGTAAGATGATTAAGAACTGGTGAGGGGAGAATTCCTCACGTCTCACGGGTTAGCCTCAGAGGCCGTGCTCTGACCAGCTGGCACGGGCTGAAGCCTGGCAGCCCCGCCCTCGTCCTGGCTCTGACGAGCTGTGTCCCTCGAGCAGGCCAGCCGCTGTCCGCCTCAGCCTCCCCACCTGTGACCACAGACATGTAACCCCTGCTTTGTCTTCCTCAACTAGTGGTCGGGTGTGGGGGGTGAGAAACGAGACAGGAGAAGCAGCAGCCTTTCAGAAAAAATTTCAGTTTTCTCAGCTGCAGGGAGTTCCCTGTGGAACGATCGGCACTTGCCTTAAAACCAGGAGGCAAACCAACGAGACTCCCCTGGACCCCCGACCCATCTACTAACGTGCCCCCAGACGGTCTGGACCCCTGCCCCCATCAACGGCCCCTGAGGGCCCTGCCACGGAGCCTACCCGAGGGCAGCCGCGGTGGACTGAACTGCAGTCTCCAGAACACACGTCCCAGGCCTACCCCGGGAAGCTCTGCGGGCGACCTTAGTGAGGAAAAGGGTCTTTGCAGATGTAATTAAGGATCTCCTCAGGGTCCCTGGATTGCCAGGGTGGGCCCCAAACCCAACGACCGGCGTCCTCATAAGAAGAGGATACTTGCAGAGGCCATGAGAAGACAGAAGTGGAGACGACCAGGACGCACCCCCAAGCCCAGGAGCACGAGGGATGGCCAACAGCCCCAGGCGGCGGGAGAGGCCTCAGACCTTCCCGAAGGAACCAGCCCTGCCGACATCCTGACTTTCGACTTCTGACTTTCAAAACTGTGTGGAAATACATTTCTGGGTTTCTATTTTTTAAGCCACAAAGCTCGTGGCGATGTGTTGCAGCAGCCACAGGAAACTGACACAGTGTCCACGCCCTGACTGCCCCGGCGTCCCGGCCCGCCCCACACAGGAGATGGGTCACACCACGGGCCACCACGAAATGCCGCCATGGGCAGCACCCTCCTGCTGCCTTCAGACGCGCTGTGAAGGAGGGAGGGGGGCCGGGGAGGAAAGGCTCGCTGTGTCCCTCGGGCAGTAAGCGGGAGGGCAGGAGAGAAGAGCAGCGCCAGCTAAGCTCCCACGGGGCCCCGGGCTCCGGGACAGGCACTTTGGGGCTGTGAGGCGCTCCCCACTCTCTCGCTGTGGTGCCACGCTGGGGATTCGAGGGCCTCACAACAGCCTGAACACCACCCTCGGTCTCCAGGCATGACTTCCAAACACTGACCTAAGGGCCCTGGGGAACCTTCCCAGAGCCGCTCGGGGTCCTGCCTTCTCTCACTTCTCAGCCCAGACACTTGGGAAGTCCTGCAGTCAATCTGCGCGCCCGGGAGCCGGAGGTTGGGGTTCTGGTGGTTGACGGTCACGTACAAACTGTAGAAACTCGGGCACCTCACCCCACATCTCTGGGTTTGCTCTCCTCCGGAAAGTGTTGGAGCGAGTACTTCACAGGCTGGGCCGGCCCACCTCTGGTGCTGCGTTTTCCGGGGGGCAGCGCAGAAGGGAGGCGTGGTCACAGGCTAGAGCCCACCCTGTCTGCCTGGCAGGTCGGGACTGGTGGCGACGGCCTCGGGGAGCGGGAGTGCTGTCTCCAGAGCCTCTCCCGGTGCGGTCGCACCTCCGCAGAGCTGCCCTGCGGCCTGCGTGCTCGTTCTGCTCCGCGAGAGAGCCACGCAGCCCTCCGGCCCAGCCCTGCGGCCACCTTGCCTTGCTCGGCTCTTTTGGAGAGAGGGCTTCGGTGTGCTGGTTTCACTTCCTCCTCGGCTTCTGATGTGGCCCATCGAGGTGCCGATGGGGGCGCCCGTGCACTGAGGGGAGGCCTCCTGCTCAGGCCAACCCGGCTCACAGAGGTGGACTCGGGGTGGGACCTGGGCAGCCGGGCCTCCAGCGCAGAGGTTGTGACAGAAGCCACGTGGCCATGAGTGCCCCCGTGCTGTGGGGGGGCTGCCCGGCGTGTGCTCGACGGGCTTGCGCACCCTCCTGCGTGTGGTGCGGCGGCTGGGTGGCCATGTGGCCGTGTGCGCGTGCATGCGCGCCCTGGCCGGGGGAAGGGCTGGGGGCCGCTCTCCCTCCTGAGAGGAGCCTGCAGACCCACCCAACCCGGCGCTCAGGCAGGAGGGTTTGCTCTTGCCTCCGCTGCACAGATGAGAGGGCCTAAGTGGCCCAGATGATGGGACCCTGGGGCACCTGCCCTGCCCTGAGGAGGCACATGTGAAAGCTGCAGAGCAAGCCAACTATGCAGCAATGAAAGGTTTGCCGACTCCTGCCTCCTTTTATTCTCCCAGCCACTCCTCCCTGCACATCTGGCTGCCCCCAGGCCCCCAGCCATGCTCTGGGGTGATGGAGAATAAAGAGCACCCTCTCCCCTGTTTTAATTTCAGATCAAAAGTTGGAAGAAGAACCTGCCCCTCAAGGGAGGGGCAGGAGGGTGTCGAGAGTGAGGCCCTGGGGGGAGGTGGAGAGGAGGTGGGTGGGCGCACGTCCCCAGCACAGTGCACCGGGCTCCGTCTGAGCGCCACACCCGTCAGCTGTCACCCACGCGCCAGTGCCGTGAGGCCACGTCACCAGGACTGTGGACAGGCCCGCAGAGACCACGACTGGGCCCAGCCCGGAGAGCGGGCGTCTGAGGCGGGGGCGGCGGGTTTGGCCGCCAGGCGGCTCTGCCTCCGTGGAGCTGTTCGCTCTGCCTTGGGCCACCCACCTGCAAAGTGGGCGCAGGCCGGGGCCACGTGGCGAGCGGAGGATAGGAACAGGGCACTGGCGGCAGGGCTGCTCTGTAGCTCGGCCAGCGCCCGCGAAGCCAGACAGCCTGAGCAGCCATCCAGGCCTCGCTGGGAAGGAGTAGAGCAGCGCGCCCCAGAAGTGGAGAAATAGCTGCTAGGTGGGTTTTTAGGGGTGCCAGCCCCACCCAGTGTGTGCCCAGCCCGGCTTCTGGGCAGACGCGCGCACGCCCTGCTGCTCTGCGGTGCCCAGCAGCTCCAGACGTGCTCCCAACCTCCTGATCCCCCAAGGTGGGGCGGCTGTGGCACGGCCTTCAGGGGTGAAGGCCGTCCTTACGGTGGGGCTCCCCAGCTCCCAGAACGGAGCACACATGCCCAGAAGGCTGAGGAGTAGCTGGGGACTCCAAGCATGTTTCTCAGCTCACCTGCCCTCGGTCCACTCCACCCTGTCGGGGGGAACTGTGGTGGCCACGCCAGCTCCCTGACCTCTATTTCCCAGCGTGTTGACCCAGCAGCCTTGACTGTCCAGTTTCACTGTCTGGCTGCCTGTGACAGCTGGAGAGGGAGGCACGCGGCCCATGCCGCACACAGCAGTCAGGAGAGGTCCCAGCTTTCCTGACTCCAGCTGGGGCACACACCCACCCCACATTCGGGCATCAGTCAGCTGAGAGCTGGACCCCGCTCTGCTGTGTTTCCTGTCGGGTGGAGCACAGGACAGCCCGTGCCTTGGTCTCCACTTCCCCATCCCCTTCCCTCGGCCGCCGCAGACGCAGACAGCCCAGGCCCGGGCCTCTGGCTCGGATTTGCCAAATGGTTTTCCCAAACTCTTGCTTCCTCGGGTCACAACTCACCCCAGCGTTTTCTTCTCTGGTTTCCTGAAACCCTCGCAGCTCTAGAATGCCACTTGTGTGTGGGGTGAGGGGCTGGTGCGTGACTGGGGGGCACAGCAGGGGGCGAGAGAAACCTAACCAGGCCCCTGACACCGGGAGCCCTTCCCCAGCCCGGGGCTCACACTCGGTGACCTGGGGGCCTCCTCTCCGCGCGCCCCAGCGCACCGCTCGTGGGAGCCGCGGGATCAGCTGGCGGGCCGGCGTGCTTATCCTGGCCCGCTCTGTGCTCATTTGGGGCTGCTACAGCCCACTCCCCAGGGACTGGTGGGCTCCAGAGGAGATGGGGGAGGGCTTGGGTGCATTCTGACCTGAACCGAATTCCAGGATGATGATGCGTGAATAATGCGGCTTTTCAAGAACCAGCAGCTTGGGTGCCGCCTGGGTGCCCTGCCCAGCAGCCGTTCAGCTAGTCAGATGGCATTGTAAGCATCCCCCTCCAGCAGCCGTCGGGACGGCCACCACGTCCGCCTCGGCCCACCCGAGCCTTCCATTTCCCAGGCTTTGTACCCAGACTCGCCCAGCTTCTCCTGGCAGTCCCACTTCTGTCTAACAGCTTCATCGTTCTGGTCTCTCCGTGGGCAGGGCCACCCTGAACCCCAGAGGGCACCTCCAACCCCCAAAGGAGGAAGGAATCCTCTGGGAGTGACACTCCAGAGAAGGGCCACACCCCAGCAGCCCAGTCCAGCTGGCCTGCCCGCTGCCCCCGCCCTCCAGGATGCGGGATCCCCGGCCCCAGGCAGCAGGGTGCCCCCCCGACAACGCGGCACTCACAGAGTCTCCAGGCTGTGCAGCCCCTCGAAGCTGTGGGCCCCCAGGCGCTCGATGCGATTGTTGTGCAGATGCCTGTGTGGGGGGACAGACGTGTCAGGACAGGTGCCCCCGCATCCGGCTGGGGAGGGGCAGCAGACGCGCCGACTGAGTGACCACAGGGGCCAGAAAGTGACTGGGCCGGGACGGACTTCTGAAGCCACAGCCTCCGAGGCAGGACTGCCCACGGGCGACACTGCTGAGATTTCATGGAAGGAACAGGCCAGAGGGGAGCCCGGGCCAAGGCCGAAGCGGGCTCCTGCCAGGCCCGTGGGGAGGGGCTCAGCGACAGGGCCCGAGGCTGAGGCTTCCTCTGCGGTCCTGCTCCCAGGACCTGCCTGACTCAGACGCATTTTGGGAGCCAACAGCAAACCACTGCAGACCCCATGCAGTTGAAGGCCGCGCTTTCTGTTAGAGCTGGAGGGAGCTGTGGGCGATTTCGGAAACGGGCAACTGGCGAGGCCAGAGGAGCCGGGGAGGGCTTCATGGGGGCCGTGTCTGGCACGGGATCACGAGGGTCGCGGTGCGGACACGCAGAGGGAAGGGCCTGCCGGGCGGAGGACACAGGTGAGGCGGCGGGGTGTGCGGGATGGTGAGGGTTTGGCCGGACCACGTGTTGGGAGAGAGGCGGGAGGTCAGTCTGGGAGAGGCTCCCAAGGTCAAGAGTGACTGAAAGTAGGTGCTGGCCTGCCGTTCTCCGGCTCCCAATGGAAGGAACGAAAACAGCAGAAACAAGGCTCCTGCCCCACAGCAATTACCACAAGCAGCAACAGACAAGGGCAGACACACAGCTTCACGTGGACAAACGGCCAGAACTGGAGGCCGAGCAAACGTGCTGGCCCCTCGTCGGCCTCTCGGTCCAGAAATCGAACTGGCAAAAAGCCCAAATCCCGAAGGCTCTCCCTGAAATCCCCAGTCTGTCTTTCTCTCCCCACTGCGCGTGGGCTTCCAAGGGGGCGGGTAAAAGGAGGCAGTGACATGAAGGGTCCAGGCTCCTCACTGAATTGGGGAGCGACTTGAAGCCCAAGGGAACTCCTGGGCGCGGGGAGTGAGCTTGTAGCTAACACAGGCTGACTCTGCGGAGAGACCCTCAGAGCACACTCCCCTGCCTGCACTGCCAGGTGGGCAGGCCCTAATTTACCCACAACCTGGCCCACAAACTGCCGCTTGGAGGGGGCTGAGGGGCCCAAAGATGACACAGCAGAAGCCAGAACAAAGACCACGCGGCGCGGAGATGGAGGGAGAGGGGAGATGGTGCAAACGCAGGGAAAGGTCCGGGCCCAGAAGGAAATGCAGCTGGTGAGCGAGCGAGGGACAGAGGACGTTTGTCACAACTGCCTTCTGCCACGAACAGACGCTCTTTCAAAGACAGAAAGTTTAAATGAAAGGGAAAATGACACTGAGGACCAAACTGCATCCTGGAAAAACCAGCCAACGAGCGTGAGGCAGGGAGCTGCTGATGGCAGGTTGGGGTCAGAGACAGGCTGGGTGATGTGCGGAGTGAGGCTGGGCGAGACCGAACGGCCAAGACAGCAGAGGACACAAAGGTGCCTCCACACAGGGCATGGGTGTCTCTGAGGGACGGCGTCCAAACAGGAGACAGAAGACGCATTCAGAAAGGTAGCTCTGAAGAAACTCCCTGGAGGGAGAGCAGAACCCGCAGGTCAGAGCTTGTGTTGCTGCAGGAGAACCGGGTGCAGGCTGCCCCACATTCTGCCACTTTCTCGCCAGGCTATGAAAGGTCAAGGGTTAAGAAACATCTTCAGGCAACAAAAGGAAATTGTGCAGGAGGAAGACATCGGCTGCCTCCGAGGCGCTCACACGGGGCGGCAGGCACACCCGCCCAGCGTCGGGGTCTTGACAGAACTGGGTCCTCCCCCACCTGCTCCATCCCTGGCGGGAGGCAGACCCCTCCCATGGAGACACTCCGTTTGATGGATAAAACACTGCACTCCCTTTCTGCCTTTGGGAATGAACCATCCCCCCTTCCCTGGTTTTAACTTTTCCCATTTCCTCCACACCTGTTACCCAACCCGCAGCAAACTCTGCCTCCCGCTGCGCCTCACTTCCACCCCTCCCCAGGCAGCTCTGGTCCACGCAGCCTCGGCTTCCGCACGTCCAGCTCCAGGCCTCCGAACCCTCCTTTACCCAAGGCGTGCTGAGGCTGTTGGGGCTCAGAGTCAGATGCAGAGGTATGGCCTACACACAGGATGGCACCGCCGCCCCATTATACCCCTCGAGGTCCCCAGGGCCACAGCCGTGGCAGAAGACGCAGGCCCAGGGTTCGGGTCAAAAGAAGCCCCTGCGCCCCTGCTGGCCCCCTCGCTCCAGCCAGACGCCCTCCACTGCCTGTGTTCACCAGAACTTCTCGCCTGCTTCCTGTCACACCATCCTTCTTCTCTGCCCCCAGGTTTTCTCGCAGCTCATCCCTGGTCCTGGAAGGCTTTCCCAGCCTCCTCTCCCCTCCAAGGTCACCTGCCACCGGCAGCCTCTCTCCCGCCTCCCCTCGGGGGCTGGAGGCCGGGAAGGGCAGGGACGGAGCTCTGGCGCTGCCCGTGGGAGGGCCGGTTCTTGCTGTCAGTTCTGTGGCCAGGCCTCTCCCCTTAGTCCCTTGGCCTCTACACCCCCCACCCTCCTGGGTCTGCAGCAGCTGAACGTCCCAACCCCACCCCAGCCAGACCCTGAATCCCCTCTTCTTGGTCTCCCATGCTCTGAAAACCTCTCAGCCAGTGGATTCTTCCTTCAGAGCGGCCAGGCCCCCACCTCTCCCTGAACCAGGCTGCGCTGCCTCGGGGAAGCCTCCTGACCGGCCTGTCTCCCCTGCCCCCGCCCGTCTTCAGTTTAGCGTCCCTGAGTGCCCTCTTTCCACCCTGGCTTCCCCCCACACTGCAGACAAGCCAACCCCCCGCTCAGACATCATGTGCCCCAAACTCACCTTCCCGGCCTTTCCTCCCCCAACTGGACTGCTCGCTGACAGTGACACCCTAACTCCCCCCACCCGACCCCATCTTTACTGACACCTGCTTGGAAGCCTCCCCTCACCTGTCCTCACCTTTCCGGCCCAGGACCCTCCCCTGGCGGCCTCCCCCTTGGCTCCTGCAGCCCCAGAGCCCACGTGACGCATCTCAGCATCTGGCTCCCTTGGCACAAGTCATGCGCCGTCCTGCCCACAGTCACCCTGCAACGTGGGCTGGGTGTCCGGTCCTTGACTCTGCATGGCCCCCAGGGCTCCGTCGAGAGGCCCTTGTTCTCCCAGGAGACCTGCCTTGGAGACCTGACCCCGTTTATTCACAGCGAACAGCAGGATGTCGCAGGGGCGTCGCTGAAGCTGGAATCAGCCACTCTGTTCTGCTTACCCTCTGTCAAGACCCCACCGCCCATTAGAAGGGCTGGTTCGGCCGTGCTGGCAGGAGGACGTGGTCCAGAGGGACGTCCATCCAGCCTCTCAGGTCTCCCAGGACAGAATTAGACAGACCTGGGCCTGCTTTATTGTCTCTCAGGTGCAACTAAGCGTCACCCCTGCCCCCAGCCCCCGGTTTGGAGAATCACACCAGATTTCAAAGCGCAGAGGAGGCAACTTTAGCAGAGTCACGAGCAGGCACATCCCTCGGCAATTAGCATGTAACCCAAAGCAATTCCCAGTGACCACCAAGCCCTTAGCAACTACCCTGGGAACTTACCAGCCCCGCACAGCAATGAGCCAGGAGCGAGTCCGCACCCCACGCTTCCCCTCGGAGGGCAGAGTTAACCCCAGTCTCCAACTCCTGCCAGGAATGCCATCTCCCCGCTCATCACCCTGACGGGGCTCAGCCGTCTAACTGCACATGGTGGCTTTCCTCGCCCCTCCAGGCCTGGGAATGAGCTGAATTTATCCCGTGCCTGTGCCAGAGCGTAAGACAGGGCCCGACGCCTGACCGCCAAATGTGGAGGACTTTACCCCAGGCCCCGACGTGCCCTCCAGCTGGCACGGTGTGGCGATGGCACTTGCACGTCCCAGCCCAGAGGTGGCAGCTTAACTCCTGTTCTCCGGCCTCTGGTGGGGAGGGTCCACAGGAGACCCCCTCCCCGGCCCTGGGGAGAATGAGGGGAAGCGCAGAGAGGGCAGAGCCGCGGGTGGAGGCGGCACTCACAGCACCACCAGGCTGCTGAGGTTCTGGAAGGCGCGGTCGGGGACGTGGGCAATGCGGTTGAGGGCCAGCGTCATGGCCTGCAGGCCGGGGAGGTGGCTGAGGGCCCTGACCGGGATCTCGGTGAGCGCGTTGTCGTCCAGCCACAGGTGGCGGAGGGAGGGCAGCCCCCGGAAGCTCCCGTCCGGGACCAGGGAGATGAGGTTGGCATCGAGGCGCCTGGTGGAGAGAGGGTGGAGAGGTGAGTCCCGGCAGGTGCAGACTGAGGGCCGGCCGGCCGGCAGGACCCCACAGGGCCTTCAAGGTGCCCGGGACCAAAGGCCAGCATGCACCCAGTGTCCCACCTACTCAAGCTCCTGTGGTGCGCCCCCACCCCACCCCACGATTCCTTTGACCCTGTCAGCCATCTGTTCCTATTGGTGACCCAAGTTTGGACCCGCAGCCCAGTGTGGACACGTCTCCCCACCCCATGCTCCCCTCTGAACTGTGGCTCCCCTGCCCCGGCGAGACACCATCCTTCCAGAGCCTCACCACTCCGGGGCCAGACAACAGAGATGTTCCCACTGTCAACAGAGGGACGGTCCTGCCCTCTGCACGGAAAAGAAAATGCCTCCCCAAAGATGCAAGCCACTCCCACCACCCAACCCCGGTGCCCCTGCTCCCCGACTTCCCAGGGACCCAGCTGTTTGATGGGCTCCTTGCTTGGCTGATGGCCACAGGTGAGGCTGCTTCTCAGAGCAGGTAGGCTGACGGGGGGTGACCCTGTCTGGGCACAACCAGAGGGTCCAAGGTGGCGGGAGGACTTCTGATGTGAGTTCTAGAGGGTCTTGGCAGCCCAGCAAGACAGGAGACAGCCCACCCTGGCTTCTTACAGGTAAGTCCAGGCAGTGACGCCCTTTCCCACCACGCCTCTTGGTCAGGGACCTGGGCTGAGCCACCCCCTTGCGGCTGGTCCCACGGGACGGGACGAGCTGGCCTGTGACCCTGGGTCTGCTCCTGCACTTTGCTGTCTTGAGGGGGCTTTGTGCTGAGGCCTGGCTCTTCCACACGGTCGGCACATGGCACCTGTGTCGTGGAGACCTCAGCCCTCCTTTGCAAAGGCCCGAGGGCCCCATAATCCGGACCCTTAAGAAGAATCTGTGTGCCTGGGTCGGGGTGGAGGGGAGACTCCTTCCATCCCAGCAGCAGGCGCCCACCTGCAGGCGTCGCGGGAGAGCAGCCGACCAGGACAGGGCCTGACAGCTGCGACGAGGAGAGGCCTCCACCCACATAAACCCGACCCAAAGGCCACTATCCCTTCAGCAAGGGCCGGTGCCTCCAGTCCCCAGCCTCCAACGGCCGCCAGACCCTCATGGCTGATGTGGCGGGGGTCGCCTGGGGACCACAGGTGGAAACACTGTGGACGGTCTGTTTCCGCAGTCGGGCGGGGCCTGGAATCTGTTTCTACGAGGCCCTGATGTTCTGCGCACAGACAGGGTGAAAAGTGCCGGATGAGCGTCAGGTGCGCAGGAGACGGAGCCCTGCCCTTCCCCACAGAGCTCCAACTCAGTGGGAGGGTCGGACTGATAGTCACAGAGCAGGGTGACCACAGGGGAGGCTGCAGGAGAAAGTGATGCCACAGGGGTGGGGGCCTGGTGGCCCCGGGGGGTGGGTGGCAGGGCAGGGTGGGGGGTAGATCTCAGCAGAGGGAGTAGACGGCAATTGTGGGGGATGAAAGCGGCCAACGGGGCTTCGGGAAGGGGAGGGGAGGGGAGCACGGGAGAGAAGGGCAGGCGCAGCCGGTGCGCCAGGGCCTGCGAGCAATGCTGTCTGGGAAACGCGGAGCCACGAGGGTTTCCAGCAAAGGACGCGGACACGCAGCAGGATTCCTGGTGCTGGAGAGGGGCCATGCTGGAGGCCGAAGACCAGCGAAGAGACAGGCGCCTGCACAACCATCGCGTCGGAAAGGTGCGGCCACATCCCGTCCCCCAAAGGGCCCCTGCTGGGGGTGCTCCCGTTGCTCTGGCCTGGGCGGTTGTAGGGCTGGCCTGCCAGGCTCCAGCGTCAGCAGTTCTGGGAGTCCTTTTAGCAGTGCTTGAAGGACACCAGCCCGGCCTCCTTCCTGCCCGTGAAGTGCCCTCCACCTGGGCTCCCCCACCCCTGAAGCATGCCTGGGCTCCTCGGCTCCCAGAACAGTCCCATCACAGGCCCCGGGGGGCCCTGCCTGGCCTGATCCTCCACTTCCAGCCTCATTTTGGTCCCTCCTCATACACTGGAGCCCACGATTACTCAGTGTGCACTACTGTGTTCCACGGGCGCTACACACATCAAGTCCTTCCATTTTCATGGCCCATGAGGCTGACGTTTTGCAGACGAGAATGGGGAGGTGCAGGAGGTTAAGTAACTCGCCCAAGGTCCCATGTGTAGTAAGCAGTGAAGCTGGGATTCAACCCAGGCAATCCAGCTCCAGAGAACACGTCTCTAACTGTTACCTGTGTTACCCGCACACTCCACACACCTCCTGTGTTTATGTGCCTCGCTGATCTCTGTGCAGACCTGGCATGCTCCCAGAACACCCCAGCACTGCCGCAGCAACAGTCCCAAGCACTCACATACCCGCGTGCCCAGCCCACCGGGGGGGCCTGGGCTGCGTCCTCCAGCCCGTCTCGCCGGCTCCACCCCCCACCCCCACGAGGCATCAAGCGTCCTCGAGCACATGGTCCAGGACCATCGGCCTCGCCACCACCTGGGAGCTCGTTAGAAGGGCATTATCTCAGCCCCATCCCAGATTTAGGGAGTCAGAGCCTGAATTCTAACCTGACTTCCGGGGGGTGCCTTGAGTCTCAAGCACATTAATGTCTCTGAAGCATTGAGCCAGGCCTTCCAGAGCTTCTGATGCTCCGGTGCAGTGGCTGGGCGGCTGGATGGGAGAGGGAGGCTGCAGCGTTTCCTCGGTGGTTGGGGCCCGGCTTGTGCTGGGGGCCTTGCTCCTGGTTTTATCACCAGGCCCCAGGCTCCGGCACGCCCACACCGCGTGGTTCACAGACGGTGCCCGGCAGTGATCTTGAGTAAACAAGTGAATGAGTTCATGGGGAGAGGGGCGGCTTAGCTGCTGGAGGCCTGGAGGGAACCCAGGACAGTGGTGCCCCCACTGAAGCCCTGGGCTGGGTGTGGCCCCCAGTGACGCCATGACACCAGCGGTACCTTGATCCCCTGATGAGCCCCGTCACGTGTCAGGTCAGCGCCAGGTGTGAGGTCTGCGTCCTGGCCGTGATGTCTGAGCAGCTCCATTTCACAGAGCGGCCCAAGGCTGCAGGGCTGCTGGGCTGGGGTTCCAGCCAGGTGTCTGACCACGTGCTCACCACCTGGGACGCTGGTCCTGGGGGCCCAAGGAGGGCAAGGACCTGAGTGCCTCCTTGAGGAGCCCTGGGAGCCAGTGAGGCCGTGACCAGCGTCTGGGAGCTGCCTATGTGTGTGTGTAGAGTAAGCACACATGTGTGCCCTTACACACGCATGTGCCTACTTCCTCACATCACCATGGCCCTGCTCTCCTGCGTTTGGTGCAGCCCAGAGACTGGAGGGCCTCAGAGGCCTCTTCTGCCAGGCTGGGCCCCCACTGCTGCTCAGCTTCAGTGAGACCCGCCCGTACCTCAGCGCTCCTGGGACAGGGATGTGCCAAAGGGGGAAATTTGGCAAACTGGCAAACGAAGGACATGGGACGGCAGTGGGAGAAGTCGGTCAGGCCTGAATTTGCATGACTTTCCACATGGGCAGGTGGGCTGGCAGTGGGACATGGACCCAGGGCAGCATGGCTGGATTTAGCAAATAAAAATGCACGCTGCCCATTTAAATTTGAATTGCAGATAAATGGTGAGCAATTGTTAGTGTAAGTGTGTCCCAGGCAACGCTTGCGACAGCGCCCAGCTACACTGGAATTTCAGAGGGGTGGGAATAACCGTTCTGATATGTTGGCTCAGCACGTCACGTGGTAGCTCTCAGCCTGGGGGTCCTGCGAGTGTGGCCTTGGCCTCGAGATGGGTCTAGGCACAGAGCCCTCGTCTAACTGTGGGGCTGTGGGGGGTAGTCTCCTGAGCTGTGTGGCTTAACTACCCCCTCCTCCCTGAGACAAGACCATCTGGAGGCTGAATGCGAAGTGCACGGCTCAAAGCCCGCCCTCCCGCCTCCCAGTCCCTCGCACCAGGAGGCCACCCAGAGGAGCCTGGGGCTCAGGAGAACCAGCGGCTGCAGGTCCTCCTGGTGGTTTTGACCTAGAGGACAGACAGCCCTTGGAGGCACGTTCCCCAAGGGGTCCAGAGAGGACGGGGGGAGGCGATGGAGCCACCCTGACTCCTACTTCCCCTGCCCCTCTCGCCTCTGTGAGTCTCTCCTGCCCCCCAGGAGCCCCGATCCTTGGGTCCCTTCTACTGTCTCTGCCCAGCCCCCGCAGGACAGGGTGCTTCCTGAGCAGCTCCTCACCCCTGGGTCAGGGGTCAGGCTCCCAGGGTACCCCGTCCTCGAGGGCTTGTGGGCCGGGTCCCCCTGTCATCGGGGGGAGCCTCGGAGCAGCTCCCATCCCAGGCGGGGGAGCCAGTCCACCACAGACTCGGGTTTGGCAGGAGGAAGAGGCCAATTACACCAAGCACGTTTTAGAATGAAGTCAGCGGCCCTTTCCTCTCTCCCACGTGGGCCTGGGCTCCTGGAGTGATGTCTGGTTTCAGTTCTTCCCCGGGTACTCGGGCAGATGAGCAGGGACGTCCGGGTCAGTTCTGGCTTGCCCGGGCTCAGGAGGCAGCAAACCCTGGATCTCGCACTCCCCCCGCCCTGGGGGGAGACAGGGAAGGAGGCCTGAGGCCCCTTCCCTCCAAGCTCCAGGGGTCGGAGGGCCGGCTAAGGAGCACCGGACTCCTGGGGAGTCGGCACCTGGCCCCCTGGCGGAGTGAAGGGGAGGAGACCCTAACGGGGAAGAAGTGGCCACAGAAGAGGTTGGGGGACGAGGGCCTTCTCACTGACTGTGGCCCCGGAGCAGCAGTGACCTCGGAACGCTCTTGTGCCTGAGCTTGAAGGGGCCCCGCCTCATCACCTCATCTGAGGAGCCTGAGGCCCAGAGAAGGTGAGCCCAGTGCCCAGAGGGGTGGGCGGCCCCTCCCACCAGCCTGGCTCCCCTACACGGGCATGACGACACAGAGGTGCACATGTCTCTGGGCCAAGGAGGCACGTTCCCCTTTGGAGCCCGGGGCCCC